CACTGCTTCAGGAGTCCTTGATTTTCCTTGTCTCACTGTGGAGTGGCTGGCCATTTTCTCTTGGGAAATACAGATTCTTCTTTTCATGGGCACTTCCTAACCAGCAGCTTGGCACAGAAGGAAGAGAAAGAAGGGGTGCAAAGGACTCTTGCATCTTTTCTCTACAGCAGAGATGCAGGGAAAGCCTATGAAACAAGTTCAGGCTGCTTCCTGCTTCAGGGATACCTGAAGCTACTTGTCCATAGGAGTTTCCAAGTTACATTCTTTCTTGGATAATCTAGGTGCAACTGAGTATCTTGTTATTCCCAGGTGTAATCCAGACTTCATACTTCAGTCAAGTTCTAGGTTAGGCAAAAACTGGAGGGTTTGAATATGAGCCTTAGTAACTGAATGATCATGGATCAGTGCAAGCTTTTAATATCCACCCTATCCACTTTATGACTTTATCTTGTACTCTCTTAGAGCAATATATCTATTATTCCAAAATGCATGGCTTGCTGAAAATCCCAGCTAAATTTCAACTAGATTCCACATACTGATTTATTAAACCAGAGTCTTCATAATTTCACAGACATCACTGTCAGTCAGTCCTTCTGTCACAAAAAACTGAAACGTGACCATTTGATCAGTCCTTTCACCTGGCAGAAGGGCTCATTTCCCACCTCACCTTACCTGTGGCTGCATGCCAGAACACGCTTATGCTGGCTTGGAACTCCATGATATATGAATTCCCACACCAGCCTATTGTTGTTTCCCTGACTTTAAATCTAGGATACAGTACAACCCAGCTGCGCAAGTCATTGCCTTGTGAATCAGCTCCTCGCAGAGCAGGGGAAAACACCCCAGCCCCTCCACCAAACTGGCAGCACTGTTACAAGGTGATTGCTGGGAGAGAAGCCACTGGTGCTGCCATGCACACCGACTTGTTCAGGCTAGTAAGTGCTGAACTTTGCCTTTGTTGAAATCATCAACAGAATCTAGATTTTAGTGAAATGAATACACTTTGGAATAATAAAAATCCGTAGCGTTACTTTTCATGTAACAGCCTCTTAGTGAATAGCTTAGTCAAATGCTCTCTTTCAAGCTGCTCGCTTGTTTCTCTGATGTGCTGGACAAGGAATTTAGAACATAGCAAATTAGTTCTAAGTTTCCAAGGAATCACAGAACCAATGAGGTCAGAAAAGACGTCTGGGATCATCGAGTCCAACCTATGGCCAAGCACCACCTTGCAAAGCAGAGCACGGACTGAGAGCCACGGCCAGGCTTTCCTCAAACACCTCCAGGCAGGCAATCCCTTCGGACATCTCATCACTCCTCCTGTGAATGAGCCCTCCTAATGTGCAACCTAAACCTCCCCTGGCCTCTTGAAACACTACATTTAAAAATCGGAAGGGAAAAAACTCCAACACCATGACACGGAGGTTAAGGACTGAAGGCTGACACTCGAAGGTTTTGCCTGCTTTGAAACCAGTAATGAACGAATGTAGAGAACAGAGGCGCTCAGTAGCGGCAGCGGCCTGTGCAGTTTGTTCTGGCGTTGCAGGGAAGGAGCTGGTTCTCCCCACAGCCCGGCACAGAGCAATAGCAGCAATAGCAGCAATAGCAGCAATAGCAGCACCAGCAGCTCCCGCGGGCTCCCTCAGCCCCGGCTGGGGCCGCGGCGGGCGGGGCGGCGGCGCCGCGATCCGCAGGGCGCAGGCGCGGGCCGAGCCCGGGCCCGGCGAATATAC